GACAAGGGAACAACAAGTGAACTAAAATCAATGGAAAGAAGGTGCTAGGATGCCTAGTGGGGCTTAAATAAGTGCAATGTGGCAGCGAGGAATTATTGAACCTGCATGAAAACTGAACATGATGGTGGGAAAAGAGGAAAGTAAAAGGAAATAGAGGAAAGAACCAGGAAGAAAAGGACATTTATAGAGGTCTAAATACTGGCATGTATATATGTATGTATATGTGTGTGTGTATATAAAACTAGAGGGAAATAGAACTATGACTCATTTGTCTGTGTTAAGAATTAAGGTTGCAGATACACATTAGGACTCTCATCAAGTACTCCCTCAATGCAAGAACACTTTGTTCTAACAATCCGGCATTCTGTGATGCTCACCTTCCCGACACAATCACTGAAGACAAAATGGGTACATAAGCAAATGTGAAGAAAGCTGATAGTGCCCAGCTATTAAAAGATACAGCATTTGGGGTCTTAAAGGCTTGAAGATAAACAAGCAACCATTTAGCTCAGAAGCAACAAAGCCCACATGGAAGAAGCACACCAGCCTGTGTGATCATGAGGTGTCGAAGGGATCAGGTATCAGGCATCTAAGACCCAGAACAGAATCATACCCAGTGTGAATGGGGAGTAGGGGGCATGGAGTCGAGACTCAATGCCCATCTGTAGGCAATTGGACATCCCCTCACAGAAGGGTCACAGGGAAGAGATGAGCCAGTCGGGGCAGTATAGCACCCAGGAAGAAAGCATCTTATCTGTTTTGAAGATTTTGAAGAAAATTTTAAACACATTTACTAGTATCCTATAGATCAGAGTACAGGTGATCCCTAGGTTGCCACCTGTGTCAGCTTTTAAATCCTGGAAAAGGCTTACAGCCTTTTCTTGCACCACAATATGATTCAGTAAGGACCGTATGCACCTGTTCTGTTCTGACTTAACCTACAAGGTCTTACACAGTTACGAATGGATTTCCTTTGTGCTCCCAGGACTACCTGTGTGTTTCGTTCATAAGGTAATAGGAATGCTCACTTTGTAAAACCCATGGAGGCAGAGAAGCATCACCGAGGAGACTGTTAACATTTGGTAGTACATCTTTTCTGTGGATCTGCCTTTTATATTTTAATAATTGAAAATGCTCATTTCTCTTCTGCTTGTTTTCACTTAAACTTTGTATCTTAAGTATTTTTTTCATGTGGCTAAGGAAAATAATAATCTATAGTAGTGTAGTTGGGGCAAGCCATAATTTGTAAAATCATTCCTGTATTGATTGTTTGCAATGCTATGATTTTTCAGTATTAGACAGCACTTGTGAGAAACCATTTGTGTTTGTTGCTTGTTTCGCTGGCGCTCATCACTGCCCCGAGGTGTGAAGCGTTAGGGATGGGGGTGCACAGAGGGAGAAAACCTGTAGTGATTCCTGTGACCCAAGAGTTTACATGGCATTGAATTCTAAGAGAAGGGGGAGGGAGGACCTGCTTTCTCCAGATGAATCGTGAGTTGCTACAAGATTGAGCTTCGATGGATGCACAGAATAGAGATGTGCCAGGCACCATCCAGTAGAAGCAATATAATGCAATATAAGCGAGGTAAGGGAAGGAAACTAAGGTGCAGAGTTGATATATACGTTAGGTCTTTGGAGCCGTGCACCTTGTCAGAGATGGGAGCAGAATTCAAATCCAGGTGCTTTGGCTTCAGGACCAGGTTTTACCCACTCTGCTGGGCTGCTGGGCTTTATTATTAAATTTTATTTGGTTGCTGGTCTTAAATATATACACAGAAAATCAATAGGGAGCGGGGAATAGAATTTTCACAGAGACTAGTTGAATCCCTGAAACAAGCTTTAAAACTTCAACTAAAAATAACCTCTGAAGTTCTTAAAACCAAACTAATTTAGCTAAATTAAGGAGCAATGTCCATCTGGAGCATCATGCTCTTTGAAGATCTGCTTCCAGGGGATCAAAGTGACCACAGCAGCTCCAGCGTATCAGTGGGGGCTCATTAATGAGTTATGTTAATGGAGGAGGAACAACTCCTTTGTGAAATAAAGCATGGTTGCATAACCTAGGGAAAAATCAAGCCCCTAAATTGTACATGTAAACATTGACAAATCTTGTAATAGACAGTTTTAATGGAGCATAATTGACATAGTTATTTCAATTCCCTCAACGAGATAGATTGGCACAGTGCCTGCCCCAGTGGACTCAAACATATGAATGGTGAGGAAGATGGCACAGGACTGGGCGGTGGTTCAGTCTATCATGTATCAGGTCGCTGTGAGTCGGGACCAACTCCAGGGCCGCTAACAACAGCAAGCTAAAGTGTACAATTTGGTAAGTTTTGACATGTGGCTATAGCCATAAAACACTCCCATAATTATGATAACTCATCCACCAGTCCTAAAAGTTTCCTTTTGTT